GTGCCTGGCACATGGCAAACAGGCCAGTAAAGGGAGGCATTGGGACATTTGTACCTTTCTTATTATTACCTTGCGACATTGTTGCAAAGACTCAGCACGTCCCCATCCTGTAGGGTTTGGTCCAGGCTCATTATCAGAACCCATCAGTATTTGCCTCGCCTTTCCTTCCTTCCTTCCTTCCCCATCCACTAATATTAGTAAGAGCCAGTGGAATCCATGAGGTGACGGTGCCAATGTTCCCTTTTGTATTTCCTGAGTGCCCACCGGGCCAGGCCCTGAGCCAGGCCGAGGCCAGGTGCCCCTCTCTGCGTCTTTAGTTCCATCTTTGGAGGGATAACTCACGTTTACACAGCAAGGTCATTGGCAGCCACGAGAGCTGTCTGAGATTTCCCTACGTGTCTCCCGCAGCCTGGCCTGGTTACGTTTCTGCCCAGACACCCTCAGTGGCTCCCACCCACCCATCACAGCTGGTGCAGGGGCGCACCACTCGCTGCTCCCCCCCGCCCCGAGCCTCGGTTTCCTCTGCTGTGACATGGGTGGACGATAGGACCTCCAGAGGGTGGAGAGCAGAGCCAGTGTCTGAAAGGCCTCCTTTTGTTAGCTCCAGCTGTTGAGTGGCTGCTCCCCCTCGGCCAGTCTGGCTGCCATTTAACTGACACGGGAGCTTTTGGTGTTTCTTTCTGTCTCCTGCACATGCTTACCAGTCTCACCTCCCTCTCAGATGGTAGAAATATGCTCCTGAGTTTTCCCTTCATACTTGTAATCATGTTGAGTTTTCATGTACTTGCATGACTAATCCATGTGGAATTGTTTTGCTATGTATAGTGGTGGAGTTCACTTTATTTTCTTCCAAATGCAGCCAAGCCAGTCACTGACTTATCCTTTCTCTGCCAACTGGAAATTCCACATTTGTCATGTATTAAATTCTTTTATGTATAAAATTCACAAATTAATTTTTAAAATATTTTTAATTGATTCCAGAGAGAGGAAGGGAGAGAGAGGGAGAGGGGGAGAGAGAGAGAGCATGAGCGAGCTGAGAGACATTGGATCCATTGTCTCCCACACTCACCCGGACCAGGGATCAACTGGGAATCAAACCCACCACCCTTTGGTGTACGAGAAAATGCTCCAACCAACTGAGCCGCACTGGCCAGTGCTCAAATTAATTTTTTAAATATATACACCTGGAAAACGCTAAGCTACATTTTCATTTTCAGTCTTAAGTATACATTTGACCCTTGAACAACATGGGTGTTAGGGGTACTGACACCCCACTCAGTGGAAAATCTGTAACTTCTGACTCCCCCAAAACTTAACTACTAATAGCCTATTATTGACCGGAAGCTTTACCGATAACAAGCAGTTGATTAACACATATTTTGTATATGTATTATATAGTGTATTCTTACAATAAAGTAAGCTAGATAAAAGAAACGTTAATTAAGAAAATCTTAAAGAGCCTGGGCCTGTGTGACTCAGTGGGTTGGGCATCATCGTGTGCACTAAAAGGTTGCAGGCTCAATCCCCAGTATGGTGGGGTGGTGCAGGAGGCAGCAGATTGATGTTTCTCTCTCACATTGATGTTTCTCTCTCTCCCTTTCCTTTCTCTCTAAAAATCAATTTTAAAATATTTAAAAAAAGAAAATCATAAGAAGAGAAAATACATTTACAGTACTGTACATATTTACTTTAAAATATCCACATGTAAGTGGATCTGCACAGTTCAAACCCAATGCCCAGGGTTCAACTGCATATACATGGGTTATATAGAGCGGTTATTCACTCAGCAAACACTTCTTCGGGGCCTGTTCTGTGCCAGGCACTATGCTGGGCACCGCGGACACCACCACAAACAGAACAAACATAAACCCCTGCCTTGGGGCATGGGCGCGGACACCAAACAACCAAGGCATAAATGTGGGACAGGTCAGGTGGTGGTAAGAAACGAAATAAAATAGGTGATTTCAATGGAGGGGAGAGGGTGCTGTTTTAGAGAGGCTGGTCAGAGAAAGCTCCTCAGAGGAGGCGCTGGGAGCCGAGGCCTGAAGGAGGTGGAGCCACATGGACTCAGGGAAGAGCTTGCTAGGCGGAGGGAACAAGTGCAAAGGTCCTGCGTTGAGACCAGGCCTGGTGAGTTTTCGGTGTAACCAGAAGGCCAGCGAGGCTAGAGTGGAATGAGCGAAAGGGAGAGAGGGAGCAGGAGAGGGCAGTGGGGGGACGGGGCCTTGTGGGCTATCGTGGGGCTTCTCTTCTGAATGAGGTGGGAGCCATGGAGGGTTCTGGACAGAGAAAGGATGTGCCCTGACCCAGGTGTATACAGGCTCCCCTGGCTGCGTTGGGAGG